CCCCCCCCCCCCCTCCCCATTTTACGAAGAGCCGTGCCCGAGCGCGCACCCCCGGGGTCGGCCAGAAGAGGGGCTGGAAATGTGCGCGCGATTATGCCGAGGGCCGAGAGAGAGAGACACATCGCACGGCCAGAGCGCGGCGTGCCCGCCCGGAGCCGGCATGCGGCCAGCCGGTCGGGCGGGCCGGGGCCGGGGGTGTCCCCACCGGCCGCCCGGCCCGAGCCGGGCCAACGCACACGGGCCAGACCCCCGGCGCGGCCAGCAGGCCGGAATGCATTTGGGGGGCGGGGGCACACACGAAAAAAAAACGGCAGCCGCGTTTCCGAGGGTGGACGGGGGGGGGGGGGGCTCGCCGGCCGGGGCGCCGGGAAGGGCGCGCACATAATGCCGGCTCGCGACCGCCCGCCCGCCCATTCCCCGCACGCGCGCGCGCGCGCGCGCGCCGGAAACTGGCTCCCGCGCCCGTGCCGGGGAGGGTGGAAATCGGGAGACCAGTGAACACCCCCGACGCCCTGGGCCGGCGGGGCGGGGGTAGCTCCCCCGTCCTCCGCAGGGACCCCGGGACTAGGGACGGTGAACCCGGGGCGAAAAGGGAGGGGAGGGGGGCGGGGCGGGGCGGGCAGGGAAGTGGATGTGAAACCCGGAGCGAGGGGCGCCTTGGCGGCCGGCCTCTGGGCGCGCCAGCTGCCGGCACCGGAACACGAGGCGCATGTACCAGAACCCCCGCCTGGCTGAGACACCCGGCCGGGCGCCGGGCCGACCAGCGGACAGGCCAAGGGATGGGCAGAGCGCGGGGAGACTGGGAGACCGAATCCGCCGCCCGCAGGAGGGCCCGACCGCCCCAGCCCCATAGGCCAATCCGCCAGGGCCGAGAGGCTGCCATGACGGTGCTCTGACCCACCGGAGAGCGGCCTCCGCCAGGCTGCGGGCGCCGCCCCCCCCCCCCTCCCCCGGGCGAGGGCGCGCACGCGCAGGGGGTCCCGGGCGCGTCCGGAGGGTGCCCTTTCCCAGGGGCCCCTGGGGGGCGGGGGGGGGGGGGCGGTTGACCGCCGCGGATCGGCGGGCGATGCGCGCCCGGCACCCCCCGGGGCCCTGGGCGCGCGGAGAGCACCCGCCCCCCGCGCGCCCAGGGACCCATCATTAGCATGCACCCCGCCGCCCCTCGGCCCCGCCCCTGCGGGGGGGGGGGACTCTCTTCCACCAGCCAGCCGCCGCCGCTCCCGGTCTGTCGCCCAAAGGAGGAGGGGGCGCCTGGCGGACCAAGACCGGCCGACGCCAGACGCTAGACCCGCTGGCGGGCATTTCTCTCTCTCCTCATATCGCGCATATTTGCCACCATCAACATGCATATATGCTGGCACGAATATATTTCTCCCGTTTGATGAGAACCAAGGCCGACGGACCCCCAGCCGTGGGGTCAGGTCCCCCCGCCCCCCACTCTCCTGCTGGGGGCAGACGCTCACAAGGGGGAAAAGGGTGCGGGCGCCGACGGTGGCACGGTCCCACCGCGTCCGGAGCGAGAATCGCCGAGACCTCCGTGACCCTCCCCCCCCCCCCCCCCCCGCCCCCGGTAGGCGAGCCACGGCAGCGGCGCCGGGACAGGGCGCGGGCCCCTGTTACGGCAACGGTCCGACGCCGCCGCCGCCGCCGCCGCCCGCCAACAGCCAGGTGCACGGGCCCCCGAGGGCAGGTGAACGACTCATCACATGACACGACTGCGATACGCCGCGGCAGGCCAGATCCCGGCCCTTTTTCGGCCAGCTGCCCGGTTCCCAGCTCCGCCGGCCGGCGGAGCTGCCTCGCCAGGCCCCCTCGGAAACGTATCCCTCCTCCCCTCCCCCCTTTTGTTCCCCTCCCTGCTCCTTCCTCCTCTCTCCTCCTCCCCCTCCCGGTCCTCTTCTTTGGCGCGCTTCGACTGCAAGCACAGTCGTCCACCTGCCCCCTCTGCGTCCTCCCCCCCCCCTCTGTATCCCCTCCCCCGTGCTGCTTGACTCACCCGGTCGCCACCCTAAAGACCTCCTCCACGCCCGAGAGGTGCTCGCCAGGGACCCGCCCGCGCTGTCCCCTCCTCCCCCTCCTCCCTTCCACCTTCCTCCCTTTCCTCCGCCCCATCCTCCCCCCCCTCTCTGCTCCCTCCCCTCGTTCGTCTCGTCCCCACTCCCCTCCGGACTTTGGACAGCGTTCCGTGCGCCCCCCTCCGCCCGATCTGCACACGCACACGCACACGCACACATACACGTACACATACCTACCTACATACACACGCGCGCGCGCATACACGTACACCATGACCGAGCTCGAGCGCCACGGCAATGAGACCACCATGAACCTCAACCCGGCCCTTCACCAGAACATCATGGGGTCGCGGTACTTCAAGAATCTATAGTGCGTGGCCGTGGCGCAGCGCTCGCGCCTTCCCCTCCGCCCGCCGGCCGCCGCTGCCCTGCCCCGTGTGGCGCCTGCCTGCCTGCACGCTTCCATGCACTGACCGTCTGCATCTCCCCTCGCACCTGCTGCTGCTGCGCGCAGCAACTTGACCACCTTCGAGGAGGTGGTGTCCGAAATCTCCGACGAGGTGACCTTCCTGGGTATGTTCGCGCAGCACCGCCCGCCCGCCCGTCCGCCCGCCCCCCCTGGCTTTTCTGCATCTGACCCTCCCCCCTCTCTCGTCTCTCACTGGCTACTACCCCCCCTGCAGAGCCCTTTATCCCCGGCACGCGCGACCCCTCCTCCGCATTCTGCCTGCTGCTCAAGCTCTTCACCATGAAGCCCACCGTCAATCAGATGCGGCGGATGCTGAACTACCCCCGATCGGTGTACGTCCGCTGCGTGGGGCTGCTCTACCTGCGGTATGCCTTCCCCCCGGCCCGGCTGATGGAGTGGTATGCGGACATGCTGTTCGACGAGACCCCGGTGGTGGTGGAGGGCCGCCACGGCGCGCGGTCAATGTACGTGCACACCCCCGCCCCCTCGCCCGCCCCCTCCCCCGCCCCCTCGCCCGCCTCCTGGCCAGCTTCCTCACCTTTCCCCTCTCACAGGCCCCTTGGGAGGTATGTGCGTAATCATCTGCTGCTGGATAACAAGTACTTCGGCACCATCATGCCGCTACTGCCCTTCCGTGTCATGGAGTCCATCAAACAGCAGATCAAGGACCTGGAGGCCACGCACTCGCGCGGCGGCGGCGGCGGCGGCGCTGGTAGCCGCTCCCGCTCGCCGGACCACCATCGTGGCGACGATCGGCGGCCATCGTGGCGCGACAGCCGGAGAGGGCGCTCGCGCTCGCCATCCCCCTCGCCAGTGGGCGAGGGGCGTGTGCCGCGCGGGGGTGGCCGTCACTCCTCGCCCCCGCCGCCGATCGATGCGGCCAGCCCGCCGACGAGCGGTGGCGCCCCGGCCGGTGGCCCGCAGGTCGACGCCTTCGGCCGGATGATCGTCCCCTCGCGACAGCGGTCGCCTTCGCGCAGCCGCAGCCGCAGTCGCAGCCCCGGGTCCCGCCGGCGTGGTGGCGGCTATCGCAGCCGCAGCCGCAGCCGCAGCCGTAGTCACTCCCGCGACCGGTACCGCCGGCGGAGCCGCAGTCGCAGCCGCAGCCGCAGCCGCAGCCGCGACCGGCACTACTACCGCGACGACCGGCGCTCCTCCAGCTACGGGCGCTACTCTTCCCGAGGGTCATCCTCGTCGTCGTCATCCGGACGCGACCGCTGGCCCGGCAGCCAGGCCCGACACTATGGCGGCGTGGATGAGCTGGCCGAGCGGTACCGCCGCTGATGGTGCCGACCCCCCCCCCCCCCCCCGTCGAGGTTTCCCCCCCCCCCTTCCTGGATGCATTCCGCGCGCGTCTCCCCTTGTGTGGGGCTTTTGCAGCGCAGACGGAGCATGTCCGTGTCCTCCCTTGTGTTCCATTGGGTTTCCGGCTGCCCGTATCTCCCCCCTTCCCCCCCCCCCCCTTCCTCGGAGTCTCTGATACAGCAGTGACGCGGGGCGCATGTGAGTGATGCATGCGGAAAGAAATGTACCCCCCTTTTTTATTGTCCTTTCTTTTTTTTTTCGCGTGCTTTCCACCGCCGGGCCGATTGCCGTGCCCCGGGTTGCGCGGGCCCGGTCAGGGGGGGGGGGAGATCGGTCGTCGTTTCCCCGGGGGCGGCGGACGATCGCGCGTCCCCGTGCGATGGTGTCGGAGTCAGTCTGTGCCGGGTGTGTGGGTTGGCAAGTGATGGGCCGGCCGACCGCGACGCATCAGAACGCGGCTTGCGTAAAATCGAGCGCCGGCGAATGGCCGCAGTGCGCAGCACGTCCGCCCTGAAGGCGGCCTGCCATCGCAGAACGCCCGACCACGGCCGCAAAGCCCCGGGCTGATCAGTGCCCGAGCGCATCACGCGGCCCGGGGCGCTAGAACGGTTTTTCAAATCTCCCCCGATCTGTGCGGCGTCCGCACACATCTCCCCCGCAGGCAGGCTGTCGTCTGCAGTGCGCCGCACATGTCGGTGCCAGGGATCTTGCCCTCTCGCCCGCCACAATCCCCGGCCGAGAGGTCCCCCCCGCCGCCGCCCCAGACAACGGCCTCGAAGCAGGCTGAACAGGAGCCGGCCCGGCGGCCGGCCGCCACGACCACACATCGCATAGCAGCCCTCCCCCCTTCCCGCGCCCGTTGTTTTGCCCCGATTCTCGCTCTTCGGCCCTCCCTCGCCGCGTCTCTCCAACTACACGCGCGCGTGCTCCCTCTTCGGCCCGGCATCATGGCCGCCCTTCATCCCCCGCTGGATCCGGCTGGTGCGCGCGCGCTGCTCCCTTCCGACGTGTGCTCTTCCGATCTGCATAGCAGCCCTCCCCCCTTCCCGCGCCCGTTGTTTTGCCCCGATTCTCGCTCTTCGGCCCTCCCTCGCCGCGTCTCTCCAACTACACGCGCGCGTGCTCCCTCTTCGGCCCGGCATCATGGCCGCCCTTCATCCCCCGCTGGATCCGGCTGGTGCGCGCGCGCTGCTCCCTTCCCCCGCCCCCATCTCTCTCTATCTCTCTCTCTCTCTCTCTCCTTCCTTCTCTATACGCCACATGTGCTAACTTGTAGCCCCGGGTGTCCTCAATCTGTTCTTGGCTTGCATGTGGCTGGCCCCCCCCCAGATCGGAAGAGCGTCGTGATGTGCTAACTTGTAGCCCCGGGTGTCCTCAATCTGTTCTTGGCTTGCATGTGGCTGGCCCCCC